GGCACCTTAGAAAAAATGTCAAGTCAAGTCTAATAAATATGTTTGGGGTTGAATTTTCGTTAAGACCACATTGTCTTCAAGGGCATGCAAAATAATTTGTATATAAAGTTGTATTACTGGAGTTAGAACAAGGTGATTACAGAGATGTCATCCCTAATTTTTCATAAAACTTTCTTTTTGGAGGTTTATAAGGACAAACTTCATTTGAGTAGGGAAAAAATATGGTAATGGAGTTTTCTGCTTCATTATATAGAGTTGACATAGTTTTTTTAATTAGATTATACCCTATAAAATCCTATTATTTTACTTGACCATTTTTTTTTAAAGATTTTATTTATTTATTTGATAGAGATCACAAGTAGTCAGAGAGGCAGGCAGAGAGAGAGGAGGAAGCAGGCTCCCTGCTGAGCAGAGAGCCCGATTCGAGGTTCGATCCCAGGATGCTGGGATCATGACCTGAGCCGAAGGCAGAGGCTTTAACCCACTGAGCCACCCAGGCACCCCTACTCGACCATTTTTGACCTAACAAAATGGCAGTTTCTTATGCTTTAACAGAAAATATTGTTTTTTAAATTTTTTTTCAGAAAATATTGTTTACTAATTTAATAAGAACAGTACAATATTTGTGTACACATATAATTGTTTTATTATATAAATATTTGTTTGATTTGTGTATTTTTTCATATACATGATATAGTCAACTATATTTAACATGAAAACCATCGTAAACATACTATAGTTTTGGTGACTGAAAAAGCACTTTCTCCTTCATTCACTAAACTTTTATCAAGCATCTGTTATGATTTTTGCACTCTGCTCTGTGCTTGACACATAGGATGAGTAAAGCACTGTCCTTGTCCTTGAGGCTTTCCCAGTTTAGTAGGAGAGATAAACACATCCACAGATAATTACTACAGAGGTTGTGTACAAGGGTTAAGAAGGAAATCTCTGAAGTCAGACCCAGAGGTCTTGTCTGAGATTCAGTACTATTGCTAAATACCCAACCTCGCTTTGCCTCATGGAAATAAAAGTACTTCACAGTGTTGTTGTGAGAATTAAACGTGAAAATGCATGTAAAATGGCTTAGTATTGTGTTATATTTAACAAGTATGTGGGAAATGTTAGGTATTGCCATCATGTGTTAAATGCTATTATATAATTAGGTGTGCCTGGGATTTGCTTCCTTTTGCATGTGGTTAAGTGAACTGGTTTTAATTATGAGTAATACATGATTAGACAACTATATGGTTAATAGTGAACTAGTTTGCTCTTGGTAAGATTTTAGAGGAAAATTTCATCAGCTTTCCCTGGAAGAAAGACCCATTGTCCACCAAAAGCCCTTGTCTAGTTAACTGGCTGAACGGATTTAACACACCAGGAGTAAGGCTTGTTTTCCTAAGTACTCAACATTCTTTTACCATCTTTAATAAAAAAGAGGAACTGAACACAGGAACTAATGAATTTGATGATAATCAAGAACTTAAATTCTCACCTCAAACTCACCTTTTTGCCTTTTTAGATAAAAATTATGGTTAGTTATGGTCAAGATGCCATGGTCATAAATGCCTTCTATTGAAAGTCACTAAGTCGTCTTCTGGGCTGTAATAAATACTATTCAGCTCTACTATTTGCTGGGCCCTGTGCTAGGATCTGAAGGTATAAAGGCAAGCAAAAACTACAGCTTGCTGGAGGAGAGACATTTATCAAATAAGTATTCAAATATAAAACTAAAGGTTAGGGTGGGAGGTTGGGGGAACCAGGTGGTGGGTATTGGAGAGGGCACGGATTGCATACAGCACTGGGTGTGGTGCAACAACAATGAATACTGTTACGCTGAAAATAAATTTAAAAAATTTAAAAAAAAACTAAAGGTTATAAGTAAAGTGTAGAGAGCAGTGACCCTGACTGAGACTGAGGTGGCAGGCTGGTGAGAAGAGTTCATTTAGGAAAGTAAATGACTGGGGGCTCAGTCAGTTAAGCGTCCGACTTGATTTTGGCTCAGGTTGTGGTCTTAGGGTTGTGAGATCGAGCCCCACATCAGACTCCGTGCTCAGCAGGGAGTCTGCTCAGGATTCTCTCTTTCCTTTTTCCTCTGCCCCCCTTCTTACGCACATGCTCTCTGTAACATCTGAAAATATCGCTTACCCTTAAGGAGAGCTGGAGATTTTCTCCCAAATTCTAAAACTAAATAAGATATTTATATATATATACATATATATATATATATATATATAATTATTTGTTTTATTGTTGTGTTATAAGGAAATAAAAGCTTAGTCGAATCAAATATCTGGCTACATCATGAAAAACACTAAGCTGATATAAATTATTTACTCTTAGCTGATCAGATACCTAACGTTAAACATGACCTTTTTGTTTGATTGCCATTCTGTCCCACATAGACTTTCATTTCATCAACCCTATTCAAAATAAAGGCCTTCACCTCTGGAGTGATTTTCTCATTATCAACACACACACAATGTGTACTTCTATACAGTCCTTTACATCTACTAACCAAGAAGATGGGGGAAATTTAGAAGACAATAAAATGACTAAGTTCTTCTTACCTTATCTGGGAGCGACGCCTTGCTCTGGAATGAAATTTGATGTACAAACATGCCATTTTTCCACGGTTTGCTTTGTTCTTTTTGAGAGACTGAATAAGGAAGGGAGAATGTCAGCACAGGCTTAAAATGGCTTCTCTCATAGGAAGGATTATAACATGCCAACCACTATATAAAAGATTTCCTTCGAAAGGTATTGTGGCTCCCAGAACACAGTGGGGGGAAATGATTGTAGAGAGTGTCTGTCCATTTTAACTTTTTATTAAAATATTAACAGGGGCACGTGGGTGGCTCAGTTAGTTGAGCAGTGGACTCTTGGTTTCTGCTCAGGTCATGATCTTCAGACTGTGGGATCGAGCCCTGCGTCGGGCTCTGCGCTCAGTGCAGAGTTTGCTTCAGATTCTTTCTCCCTCTCCCTCTCCCCTTCCTCCCCCCAAACAAACAACATATTTCCAAGAATATTCACATCCTGGGGTGTCTGGCCGGCTCAATCAGAAGAATATGTGACTCTTGATCTCAGGGTCACAAGTTCGAGCCCCATGTTGGGTAAAGAGATTACTTAAACATCATTTAAAAAAAAAAAAAAGAGTATTCACATTCATTTATTTCAGCCTCAAATAAACAAAAGCTTGATTTTTAAAAATTAGCTCTATTGTTTGCCGGGTCCAGTGGAATCTCAAATCCACTGAGTGTTCTTTGGTAATTTCCTAAAGAAAGACCATTTCTTCCATTTACATTTTTTTCAAGCAAACGGTAAGTAACTTGTTCATCAAACTTGAGAGAATCCCCCAAAAGAATTTCTTTGGAAAAGCTGGTTTTCTTCTCCCTGAGCCAGGCAATTACTCTGTTTTCTAGCCAGTTGGATTATAGCAAGTCAGTGAGATCACAGCAAGAAGCCCAGCTATGTTGTACTCATTTTTATCACAAGAAATGAACTCATCTACACGAATCATTTGGTGCAAAATAAATAAATTCCTTCAGTAGAACATATCACAGGATCAGAATGTCCTACTTTGGAAAGGAAGGAATGAACACAATGTAGCTTTACAGTAACAGCAGGAAACCATTATTTTTCTGCTCACAGTGGTATGTTTCAGCCCATGTTTTCTTAGAATGAAGCATAAATCCAAAATGTTAGCTAAACTAATCACAAATATCAAATGAGCTCCCTGCTTACAGCCAGCGATCATTACATGAGCTGGAAGCCTACAAATTTGCTACCTTTCAACAAAGCCATGTTATGTGAATTATTTCATAATACACCCTAATAAAAAGATTAATTAAAGTAAGATAATAATAAAAGCTCACAATTGTTGAGCTCCTCCTATAAGCCAGGCGCTGTGAGAGACATTTACGTATGTATCTTATATCAGTTTTGTAAGTGAAACATAACCTCAAGATTATATTGTCTTCATAATAAAACAAAATTGGACACTTAGAACTAGATCATTTAGCCCTTTCTCTTATCAAAACGCTCTCTTCTCTTAATTGCTAGCGTTCTCTTCGATCCGCAGCTAGAATCAACACATTCAAGCCTCAACACAATGTTCTTTATAGTTTTGGTTTTTTCCCAGAAGATCTGTCCACCCACCATAGCCACTCTGCTTCCTGCCATAACGCTGCTTTCCCTGGGCATACGGAGACTCCTTGCCCCTCTTGGAATGTGTCACTTTGTAGGGGCAGTGTTTGCCACCCTTCTTACAGAAAGTCTGGCAGTCTTAGGAACGGTCACCGTGTTTGTGAGAGTGCTGTATGGAAAGTATCTTGTATAATTCTTAGAACAACCCAACAATGGTTTACTGATGGGCCTTCTCTCCAGATCACAGAGGAAGAAACGGAAGTCAATTGTAATAAGAAAACGATGTGATATGTATGATCATTGTCTTTGATTTTACCATTGCAGGGGAGGAAAAAAATATCTTTTCCTTCTCCTCTTCTAAATTCTCAGCCAGGGCCCTTGTCATAAAAGACAGAGTATCAAGAGAAAAGCGTACAGATTTTTTAATGTAAATTTTACATGACATAGGAGTCTTCATAAGGAAATGACCCAAGGAAACAGTTAAGTCTGAATGTTTTTATACCATGTTTGACCAAAAATGGGGACTCGTGGAAAATGTGCTAGGACAAAAGTTTATGAGCAGAGAGTAGGAAAGTGTGGGAAACAGCAAGGCTTGTTTGTTCAAGCCATTACCTCCTTCCTCGGAGGTAAGGATGCTATTTACGGTAGACTGAGAAAAAAGTGTGAAATGGTACCTACAAATAAGACGATGGGAAATAGAAGTACACTAGAAATAGAGGGAAAATGAGAAACGAGAGTCTGGAGGCAGGAAAAAAAAATTACAATAGTAGCAGATGACTGTGTCCGTGACGCTCAGTGTCACTTGACTGCCTCATTTCATAATATCAAGTAGATATTATTATTGTCCCTCTTTTACAGATGGAGAAACTGAGGCTTGGAGCTTCTGACTAACTTCGCAAGGCCACACGGGTAGGTAATAAGTGGAACTGCGATTTGAAACCAGGGTCTGCCTGACTCCTGGGCTCTAGTCCTTCGTTACCATAAAATACCACCCAGAAATGCTTGTGATTGTTTGTGGGTTTCATCCAAGCACTTGGTAAGGATGGGCTGGTGGGAAAGAGGGCAGTTTAACAGCAGAAGAGACAAAGGTGGCAGAGAAGACAAACATAGAAGACTGGAAAGGAAACAGAGAACTAAAATTCAACTCAGGACACCTGGGTGACTCAGTTGGTTAAGCACCTGCCTTTGGCTTGCGTTGTGATCCCAAGGTCCCCAAGTCAAGCCCTGCATCCAGCTCCCTGCCCAGCTGGGAGTCTGCTTCTCCCTCTGCCCCTCTCCCCCCGGTTCTCTCTCACTCTCTCGCTCTCATGCGCTTGAGCCAAAAATAAATAAATGAAACCTTTTAAAAATTAACAAAACTAAAATAAAATTCAACTCTACGTAAACATCCCACATGTATTTAGATATCTCAAGGGAGAGTAGGGAACGGGGGGGGGGTGACAGTGAAACATAACTGGAGGGTTTGGGGGGCTGCTATGACTTCTCTTCATCCCACTCTGGAGAGCCAGATACATGTTCTTGGGCCAAGAAAGACATTCTCTGTTCTGGAACCGCAGTGTCCATCAGGCAAAACGCCACATCTAACCAATTATCTGGAGTTTGGGGGTGGCTAGAGCATGGGCTTGGCCCCTTCCTCTGTTTGAGTAGCTGCAGCAATGATTAAAGTAGCCTCAGTCTGGCTGGGGGAAAAAAAAAAAGGAAAGAAAAAGAAAAAAGAGAGATAAAAGGAAAGCCGTACATATTTGAACCTATTTGAATAGTGTGTTAAGGTTTTGGCTGTGCAAAGCAATTCTATTAATCTTGCTTATTGGTCTCTCGATTCCAACAGTCCTATTACGGACCTGGGCTTCTAACACACAGTCCTTAAAGAGGACAGATAGGGGTTCAGGGAAGAGAGTCTGGGATCCCTCAAGAAGGAATTTGCATCCGCAAAACCAAACTTGGGGTGCCCTTAGAAATTTTCTCTCCTGAAGCCCTTCCCTGGTTGTCTGGAATTCCACTTAGCCCTCCTTTCCTCTGAGGGACTGTTTCCCCATCTTGATGTGAACACCGTCATTACTCTAGGAGTAAATTTAGGTTTTGGAAATTGAGAGGACCAGAAAGAAACTTCATATACCTTTCTTAAAAAACCTTATCACACCCTCATCCTTCTCCCCGTCTTCATTGTCCTCTCAAGTTAAGACCAACACTTTTGGGGGGCACCTGGGTGGCTCAGTGGGTTAAAGCCTCTGCCTTCAACTCAGGTCATGATCCCAGGGTCCTGGGATCGAGCCCCGCATCGGGCTGTCTGCTCAGCAGGGAGGCTGCTTCCTCCTCTCTTTGCCTGCCTCTCTGCCTACTTGTACTCTCTGTCTGTGAAATAAATAAATAAATAAAATCTTTAAAAAAAAAAAAAAAAAAAAGACCAACACTTTTGGACTAACGATCTGTTAAAAGATAATTTTTTGAACAGATAAATCATGACTCTCATACAAATATAAAATTGACATGTCTCAAAGGTCTTATTTAACTCAGTAATGAATGATAGAATCAGTAAGATGTTACCGTGGGTTAAAAAGAGAATCAAAGTATCACACACATATATAGGCCATCAGGAATGTTGAAATGAGTTTACAAACAGTTGCAAAATTGGTGAAACTGGTTAGTAATTCACAGGGCAATAATCAGTTGCATTCCACTGGACACAATTCATTCATATTTCTGTGGACAAGGATCATTTGCATTATTATAAGTTGTCGACAATGTGCACCATTGTGAAATATTCAGACAGTAACGGGCAGAGAACCCGAAAACACACACTAGGTAAGATACTCGGAATCTGTCTTCCCCTTTCAGTATCTTCACAAGTTTTCCTGACAGACCCTAAATACTAAAGACATTATATCCCTCTTCATAAGTAATTCAATGTAAAAAAAAAAAAAAAGAATATATATATACTAAACCAAACTCATAAATTTATTAATGAAAGTAAAATAGTTTTTTTTCCAGAGTTTTCTTACTGCAAAATTATACGTTAATCCATAGAAGTTAAACCGTTTTGTTGTTTTACTACCTCTGTTTTGCAGGTATACTAACTTTGTCTGCTTTTGGAGTAATAACTCCTCCCACAACAACTCAGCTCTTGGTCACACTGATGACATCTTTAGGAACGTCCTCTTACAGGCCAATAGGCTGAGTATTTTCTAATGAAATAGATCAAAGAAACATTATGTAGTACTGTCACTGTAGATGGGTAAAATATCTGAAATAAAACCCAAGCATGGGGGGCCTGGCTGGCTTGGTCAGAAGAACATGCAACTCTTGATCTTGGGGTTCTGAGTTTAAGCCCCTTGTTGGGTGGAGAGATTACTTAAAATATGTTTTAAAAAGATCTTTAAAAAACCCACAACAACCACTCAATCATATTTTTCAGGACACCTACATATCATAAAGCATGTCTTACATTATACTTCTGTATTAAGCCCACGGTACTGATTTTTTTTTTTCACTAATTTAAATTCTAATTAGATTTTAATTCCAGTGTTCCACTTCAATGTGTCAAGAGGTTGAGGAGTAGGTGTGTGTGTTTTTGTAAACAGTATGGTAAGATGTCACCTGGAAAACACTCCAGATATTTACTGGGTCTTTCAGTTAAACAGATAATTTTTTTAAAAAGATTTATTTATTCATTTATTTGAGATAGAGCAAGAGTGAGAGAGCACAAGCAGGGGAAGCAGCTGGCGGAGGGAAAAGCAGGCTCTCCACTAAACAGGGGGCCCCACGCAGTGCTTGATTCCAAGACTCCAGGATCGTGCCCTGTGCTGAAGTCAGAGGCTCAACCGACTGAGCCACTCAGGCGCCCCTAAATGGATAATTCTTTATTATTCAGTGTAAAATAACTAATTAAAATTTTAAACCAATTATTTATTTTATTTTTTAAAAGATTTTACTTATTTATTTGGAGGGGAGCAGCAGAAGGAGGAGGAGAAGCGGACTCCCCACTGAATAGGGAGTCTGATATGGGGCTCGATTCCAGGACCCTGAGATCATGACCTGAGCCGAAGGCAGACGCTTAACGGACTGAGCCACCCAGGCGCCCCTAAACAAATTATTATTTTTTTTTAAGATTTTATTTATTTATTTGACAGAGAGAGAGATCACAAGCAGGCAGAAAGGCAGGCAGAGAGAGAGGGAGAAGCAGGCTCCCCGCAGAGCAGAGAGCCCGATGTGGGGCTCAATCCCAGGACCCTGAGATCATGACCTGAGCCGAAGGCAGAGGCTTAACCCAATGAGTCACCCAAGCGCCCCTAAACAAATTATTTTAAATAAAAGTTGCCTAGGGAGGGAGCAAGCAACTTTCTAGATTTGAAAATGGGAAGGTGGGGACTGGACAGAGGGATAAAGGATGAAACACTGAAGGCTCTTGGTTATACTTTGCTCAGTGGGTTCTAACTCTGAGTTGGGAGTAGAAATAGTCCGTACCGTATAGTCAAGTAGAATTGAGAGGATGCCCAGGAACAACAGCGTCGTGTGTCCCAGGGTGACCTTTGCCAGCTGGGACCGAGCCCCCATTAGCCACCGCACCACCAGCAAGCGCCAGTGGTTTGCCAGGGGGACGTGATCATGGGGAGGCTGTTGTTTTGTGGTTAACACTTCCAGCCAGCTCCGTGTGGGCAAACATCCAAATGAGACAAAACCGATGGGCAGGCTCCTGCTATTTCCACATCTGTTTAGGTTTCTCTCAGTTCCTGCTCCAGTCCTGATTTCTGCCTTCTGACTTCTGGCCGATCCAGTTCTGGCAGCTTTATTAGTTTCTGGTCTTACTGAGTGAGTGTCGATTCTTGGCTAATAACTAAGCTACTTTCTCGGATGCGTGGTTTCCTTTCGCTGGCTGCCTTCATGCCTCCACATGTGGTGGCACATCGGTTCTCTGGGATGCGAGTTCGCTCTGTCCTGCGTGGTGAGTTCTCCCCTTGTGGGTCCCCAGGAGCCGCAGCTGCCCCTCCTTCCTCAAGGTCACCGTACACTTCATGCCCTGGCGGGCTTGCTTCCTCAAGGCTCTGCTGCTCCCTCCAGGAGCCCAGCAGCACTACCTCAAGCTATTTCCTGGCTCAGGTTTGTCCAGATAAACTACTTGGTTGCTGATAATTCCAGAATTCTGATGCTCCCAACTTGCAGTAAGAAAGAGAAAGTAAGCCAAAAAAGTAAAGCCAAATTTAATTTTGACGATAATGACAGAAGTTGATGTTTCATAGGTGAAATTATTGACTTACACACAAGTCTATATTAATTTAAGATCTTCCTCACTTGTTCTTAAAACAGGTATTTATTGGTCATATTCCATGTTCTCGGAATTGTTCTAGCAACTAAGGATATAGCAGAGACTAAAAAAGATCAAATTTGGGTACTCAGAGCTTACACTGTACGTCTAATGGGGTTTCATAGAGAGAGGAGGTAAATAATTAAAGATTTAAAGAACTCTGCTTGGGGCACCTGGGTGGCTCAGTGGGTTAAAGCCTCTGCCTTCGGCTCGGGTCATGGTCCCAGGGTCCTGGGATCGAGCCCTGTGTCAGGCTCTCTGCTAGGCAGGGAGCCTGCTTCCCTTCCTCTCTCTCTGCCTGCCTCTCTGCCTACCCGTGACCTCTGTCAAATAAATAAATAAAATCGTAAAAAAAAAAAAAAAAAGAGCTCTCCTTGAGAAAGGGGGAAGCTTTCAGAGGCTAATTGGTATGCTAATATATGCTTTCGGTTAATCACAGATAAAGTAACAGTTAAATTAGTGGCCCCTACCTGAAATCAGGGTCCAGTGTTCCAAAGGGTAGTCTTGCAAGTCTTAAAGAGTCAAAACATAGCAAATATCCTGGCCTATATTTTTTTCCAAACTTTTTTATGAAAAATTCCAAGCGTTCAAAAAAGTTGAAAGAATAGTG